GGGGGTTATGAGGGTTTGGGATAGTGGAGAGAGGGTTGGATAGTGGAGCGGGTGTGAAAGGGTTGGAGTGGAGGGTTGGATAGATGGAGGGGTTGGATAGATGGAGAGAGGGTGGATAGATGGAGGGAGGGATGGATAGATGGAGAGGGGTTGGATAGTGGAGGGAGGTTGGATTAGATGGAGAGGTGTTGGATAGAGGAGGGAGGTGTGGAAGTGGCGGAGTGTTGGATTGAGGGAGGTAGGATGGTGTTGGAAGTGGACGTTATTGATGAGAGAGGCACGCAGGGCTGGTAGAAGGGGGAATGGGTTAGATGGTACGGTTGTGCTTAGTGACAGGTTGGTTATGGGGATTCTGATGAGGATTTGATTAATGAGGAGGGTGAAATGGCGCCGGTAGGTGTGGGATTATCATGCGGTAATGTCAATGTGATAATTTGTAGGATGTTCAGTCAGGGGGTTTGGATATGGGGGTTGAAGATGAGGCGGGTTTAACGAGGCTGGTTGTAATGCCGATTCTCGCTGAGAATGCTTTCTGGTTATTATTGAGAGTTGATAATGCATCTTCGGTTGGAATTGACGGTATGTCTGCTCTTAAGTACACTCATGCTCTCTTTAAGTTACGCATGCGTTTCTTTAATTCACGTTGCCTCTATAATGTCGCTATGGAGCATGTTGATAGTGCACGAGGTTCGTAGTAATCACTGATTCTAGGCTATGAAAGTGCACTCATGGCCGTTAATTCACTGCATGCTTGGCTAGTGAGCACTTCTATGAGATTCACTCAACGCCTCTTTAATGCACCATGCTTGTCGCCGACCAGTCCTGTGCGCTTCCTTCGGCTAGGTCTTGCGGCTTTCTTGATTTGTCGACCCACCTTACTCGTTACGCCCCCCCCATCTTAGGGGGATGGGCCTGTGCTAGCTGAACGTGTGAGGGTGGGGTATGGGGAGGGTTGACAGGAACGATTTGATGATCCGAGGTTGGTTGCGGAGAGATGTTGGAACGGGGAGGTGGCTAGTGAGCGTTGGGAGATGGAGGGAGGTTGAAGTTGTGGTTTGAGTAGCTTGGTAATGGGGGGGAGTTAGAGGCAGGATAGGACGGAGGGAGGCGTGGAGGAATTCACCTGGCATACATGGGGTAGTGCCGGGGGGAGTAGTACAGGAGGAGGGAGGCCCCAGGGTGGTTAGGTACCCCGGGAGGGGGGTGGACCGCCGGGAGGGGGTGATTCCCGGTGAGGGCGGTGGTACCCTGGATGGGGAGGTGTCCCAGGAGGGGGCTGGAGGGAAGGTGTGTGACCCGAGGGAGGGAGGCTCACGCACCGGAGCAGGCGACGTGACCCTCGCCACACGAGTATAACCAGACATGGAGACAACGAGACCCACAACTGCCAGGTCGTCCATCCTATGGTACCAGTGATGTGAATGTGTCACTGCGGTCCGTGGTCCCATGTGGCCAGGTGGCCCAGGTGGCCCAGGGTAACGAGCATCGTCAGGTGGCCCAGGGGGCCACGATAAACACAGTATGTGCCACAGTCCCTCACCCCTTGTCACTTCCCTCCCCTTTCTCCCTGGTTTCTGAGGAGAAGTTTTAGGTCTAATGTAGTCTTAGAGGTCTTAATGGTGGTCTTAGAGGTCTTACTGGTGGTCTTAGAGGTCTTAATGGTGGTCTTAGGGGTCTCCCAAGTGGTCTCAATATTCGTCTCCCAGGACTCACTAGTGGTCTCCCTGGTCTGAGTAGTGGTCTCCCTGGTCTCCCAGGACTCCCTAGGCACCTGGTCTCCCAGGACCACTAGTGGCTCCCTGGTCTCCCAGGACTCACTAGTGGTCTCCCTGGTCTTCCAGGTCCCTGGTCTGAGTAGTGGTCTCCCTGGTCTCCCAGGACTCACTAGTAGTCTCCCTGGTCTGAGTAGTGGTCTTGCTGGCTGGTCACTGGTTGGTCTGTCATAATAATGATGGACCATTGTATCATGGTCCAGCTGGTACATGAGTGCCAGTGCCAGGATGGTGAAGGGATCTTGATCCCAGTACACAGAGCACTTCTCACTTTCCTAGGATCAAACCTCTTACAACCCTTACGAGTTTAGCTCTCTCCATATATATTATGGTGACCTCATAACATAGACCTATCTTCCACTTACTAGCACTTGAATTTACCTGGAGAGAGTTCTGGGGGTCAACGCCCCCGCGGCCCGGTCTGTGACCAGGCCTCATGGTGGATCAGGGCCTGATCAACCAGGCTGTTACTGCTGGCTGCACGCAATCCAACGTACGAACCACAGCCCAGCTGGTCAGGTACCGACTTTAGGTGCTTGTCCAGTGCCAGCTTGAAGAGAGCCAGGGGTCTATTGGTAATCCCCCTTATGTATGCTGGGAGGCAGTTGAACAGTATTGGGCTGCTGAAATAAGCCGCGTAACTTGGCTTTTTTGGGCGTAACTTGGCTTTTGTGGGCGTAACGTGGCTTTTTTGGGCGTAAAGTGGCTTTTTTGGGCGTAAAGCGGCTTTTTTGGGCGTAAAGTGGCCTTTTTGGGCATAACGTGGCCTTTTTGGGCGTAACGTGGCTTTTTTGGGCGTAACGTGGCTTTTTTGGGGGTTTATCAAAAAAATTGTATTTGTATTATTAACCTGGAGGGCTATTAACCCAGAATAACCCGGTAAAGTCAGGATGGCATCGGGACTTGTCTTATTTCCATAGGATTCCCTAATTCTCTCCCCCAGGATGCAACACATCAGTCATCTAACACCCAGGTACCTACTTGCTGCTAGGTGAACAGGGATGGCAGGTGTAAGAAGATAAGATTTTGTTCGGATTTTTAACCCCAGATAGTTAGCCACCCAGGATAACCCAAGAAAGTCAGTGCGTCTTTGAGGGACTTTGTTTTATTTCCATTGTGGGTCTTCAATTTTGTCCCCTAGGATGCAACCTACACCAGTCAACTAACACCCGGGTACCTACTTACTCGCTAGGTGAACGGGGCAACAGGTGTAAAGAAACATGCTCAGTGTTTCCACCCATGCCGGAGAGTGAACCACAGATGCTGTGTGTGAGGCGAGAACATTGTCTACCAGGCCACGGGCCACCATAGTAAGACAACATGCCCAACATTTTCACTTGTGCCAGGGATTGAACTGCAGTCCCTCAGTGTGTAAGCTGAGTTCACTACCAGCCAAGTGGTTTATTAGTAATAGTACCTCTTTGTACCTGCGAGAGCAGAACTATGCTTGTGTTTCCCATCTTCATTAATAATGTTCTTCATATAATTTTTTAAAAGTTGCAATGGTTTACCTGGAGAGAGTTCCAGGGGTCAACGCCCCGCGGCCCGATCTGTGACCAGGCCTACTTGTTTTTTCTGCCTGCCTACAAGTGTGTTGTCAGGTTTACAGTATCTATACTGTACTACTGTAATAGTAACTATAGATAAAACAGGCCCAGAGCATGTTCGTTATTCTGAGAGACCTGAAACATTTTGTCTTAAAAGTTGATAAATTAGACACATACGCAATACTTGAGTATCTTTATTGTGGAAATGTTTTGTCCCACAGCGGCTTCATCAGTCCAGTACAAAGTAGAATTTTGAAGCTCAGAAGGAGATTGAGGTAATTGGTCCCTCAGTCTGGAGTCGATGTAATCAGTCCATCAATCTTGATAAGAATATGATTACCTCAATTTCCTTCTGATCTTCAATATTCTTCTCTATATAAGACTGATGAAGCCAGTGTGTGGCAAAATGTCTCCACAATACAGACACCCAAGTGTTGCATATGTGTCTAATTTATCAACTTGTCAGTTCACTGAACCATTTATCTATATTGTCTTACAAGTCAATGAAACTTTGTTAAAGATGATATGATAAAAATCCCAGCCACAGATTATATTGAAAATTGATCTATTTAAATTAATGTTGCAGTTTTTACACTGGCTTTGTCATGTGTGGATGTGTCAGGCTGCCTGTAGCATCAGTGGCATGTTCTCTGTATTTGATTCATGGGAAGCTTGTCTACATCATACCAGCTGCTGCTTTCCACATGGCAGTTTTTTTTTTACGACTGAGGGAAGCGTTGGTGGGGAAAAAAGTCTCGCAAGTGCTTGTGCCGAGCAACTCATGTGTTAAATTCTTCACCTAAATATGTAATCTGAGGGGAAGCCAGCCATTGACTTAGGTGTGGTTTCTATCAACATACAGAGGTTGAACTATAGCTGCTGTACTGTAACTGCAATTAGAAGCCTGAGTAGATCTATAACCCACTATGATAACATGAACGTAGATAAGGTTACAAGTACAGTACTGACTGATGTTGTAGTGGCCAGGCTTAGGCTTGGTTACAAGTGCTTCTGGCAGTTTGGGAGACACACAGATGATGATCAAACTAAATGTAAATTATGTGATCAGGCATATGGTCACTGTCTTGAACACTATGTGCTTAATTGTCCACTTATTGAGGAATACAGAGATAGACAGTATAATAACCTATGTGACATGTCAAGATATCTTATTAATGAAAATAAGATACCAGATATACTAAGCAAATTTCCTAAATTTGCTTGTTACAGGTAAGTGAACTATAGATATGTAGATATAAATCCATATGTATTCATGTTAGCCCTTTGGGGCCTAGTTCCTGGGCCTTTTGTGTATCCATATGCTCTTGAGCTACCGTCCACAGGATGGATATGGGGTGCACAATAAACTAGCCACTTCGGTGGCAAAATCTAAATCTACTGTAACTGAGGAACTGAGGAAAAAATAGACATTCTTAGTATAGGTGCCTGAGCAGCCAGGCTGTGATGACTCTGAACCTGTAAGTAGCAATGAAGTAGCTACCTGCATAGTTATGAGGAAGGTCAACGCTGCGGGGACGTTGACCCTCGGAACTCTCTCCAGGTAAACTCCAGGTAGGCTGCAGGAAACTCTTGAAACATCACTGGTTGTTAGCCAGAGTGATGTAGATGGTTTACTCCACCTATAGGTTATATATGAAGTTAAAATTTTATTAGAATTAAGATTTTTTTCAATTTGATGCCTTCTGCAGGGAGAAGCAGCACCAATGGGCGAGGGAGGTGAAGGAGGGCAAATAGTGGCCATGGCAGACACTGCTGCTGCCACTGCTGCCACTCCTGCTCCTGCTCAAGAAGGCCAGCAGGCACGTCAACCTACTGCAGGAGAGTCTTTCATGGCCATTACTAAGTCACTTATAATCAGAGCAATCATAATCTACTTTATCACATCATTTTTCAGGTAAGACATGATGTTGGCAAGTCTTTTTGGTAATAATACTATGCTGGTCTTATAATGCACATTAAATACTGTAATGGCGTTGAAGACACAAGTTTTTTCCCAGAATAAGTCTCGTAAATTTACCCAGCATCTTGGAAGCCAAATTATTGTTTATCTTTTTCTTTTTTTCCAAAATTTAGCCAGTCAGAATTGGGGGAGCATTTTGTTTGCCATAAAATATTGTATACCTATTTGTGAAAATATAAGAGACAGGGTGGTAGGGGAAGTTGAATATTTAAATGGCTTCAGGGAGAAATCCAAATACTATTTCTCTTCATAGCCTTTTTATCTACTTGTCTGAGACATTGGATCCCCACAATTTGCACTAGACGTGGAAGGATTCATAGGTATATACAATATAAATTTGTAATGGTAACGAAAAGAAAAGGTAATGGGAGTACTGGTTATCATTTGAATTTGAATTGTGGGTAGGAATTTAACAGGAATATATCAATAAATTTCTGACATGAATGCGAAAAGACAGAATGGTAAATGTATAAAGTTGAGTAGTAGAGCAGATCATCGTCAGATGTTAGAAATGTGGTCAGCCAATGGTCTGTAAATATTACATATAAAAGTTTTCCAGTAAATGGAGAGATGGACGGAATGTTGTGAAAAATTACATAAACAAATGATTTTAAAATAAGTTTCATCAGTGTTGTTAAAGAATATGCTGTTATTAGAGGTAAAAGAAATACTTAGAGTTAAATATAATAAATAATAATGTATGTTAATAAATACACAAGGTACAGTTGGGCAGCTATTGGGGTTTAGCACTTAAATTTGATTATAATAATAATTAGCAGTAATAATAATAATTAATAATAGAGTTGTCAAAAATACAGTGTAGTTGTAGTTAGTGTTAATTCTGTACTACAATATTAAGAGCAAAACTAAAGCTTAATTACCCTCAGTTAAAATTTAATGTCTAATTAGAGTGAGATTTATTATAGGGAATGAACAAGATATAATTACCATCGCCCTCGATCATGCCTTCACACCTGCTTGTATGCTTGACACCAGCATAGCAACCATCACCACCAGGAGTCTCTTGTCATATACTGATGCTCCTCATATTAAAATATTTCCAGAGTCTGAAAGAACACTGGTATAATTCAATTTAATGGATTTAGGAAATGAGGGACAAAATCTGCTGAGGTCAGTTTGGGAAACTAATGGAGAAAGTTCATAAGTTGCAGAATTGTCCTCTGTTGTTATGATTTAAGTAAAATAATCTCGACGTCCACCACAGTTGCCATTACTGGCCATCTGCTTCCTTACTTATTCATTAAATCAAGTGTTTACTGTACATACTGAGTAATTATCTTAAGTTTCATCTCCAAAGTAACTGCTTATGCAACATCGTAAAGGCGAAATATCGTAACTCGAACCATCATAAATTGAGGAGCACCCGTTTGGATATGCTTAAATGAATTCAGCATTATAAATGATCAGTGCAAATGTTAAAGAGAATGTGGTATGTCTTTCTTAACTCCTTTTTCCTTTATACTTGTAGACGTCCTGCACAACCAACTGGGCCTCAAGGAGGAGCAGAAGGACAGGTGGATCCCACTGGACGTATCCCTGCCATAAACCTTTTTGAGGATGGGACAAATATGGATCTTTATGTTTACAAGGCTGAGTTTGACCATTTTAATCAGTTCAGTGATCCAAAGGCTTTAGTGTGGTTTAAAGAGGACATTGTTTATGGTGACTGGATTGGTGGACCCAATGGAGATGGAACACACACACACACTATTGTTTTCCCAGCATCTGAGGTATTGTACTATATTATGACACTGTAAGTCAAGGTTTCTTATTATGAATAAACAACACTATTTTTTAAATAAAAACACTGAATACAAATATATAGAATTTCTATAAATATAGTGTATATTCATTACTGTGTTGCAGCGGTTACGGAACAATGGCTCGTTGTATGTCCACGTGTACTTTGTGAAAAGTGGGTTCTCCCCTGATCCTAGCAGTGAACTTTACAGCAAAAAGTACACCCTGTACACCACACAGCGACTCAACAAGTACAAACGACGTCGCTACAAGAAGACCAGTAATTTAATCACTGGAGAAACCAAGCTGTCTGATGAGGAGGTCTTGGTAAAGTATTTAAATTATAGTCTGGTATATTATAGTTAGGCTGAAGTTTAGCATTTGGAGGAAATAACGTAACACAATGTTGAGGAAGCTTTTCAAATTTATACAATGTTTAGGAAGTTTTTTCAAATTCCAACTCCAAGGCTGAGGGACTGATTACCTCATCTTTTGTATATAGTTCTACTGTTCTTAAATTTGTATTGATAAAGCCATTGGATGGCAAAACTTCTACTACAGTGAAATACCCAGATGTTGCACAAGTATCTCATTCGTCATCTTGTTGGTAGTGTATACAATACATGTACAAGGACTACGGTATACATAATAATTTTATACTATCTCTGAAAGACCAATAGAATAAGATAGATAATACTAGTTATGGGATTATAATATAAAATAATTTTTGCTGATACATATCCCAGTGCTCAATATTAAGGCTGATACCATGAAGAATAGCTAATACCCACCGATACTGATATACAGCCTCTCCTCACTTAGCGACGTACTTGTTTACCGACAACTCTGACTTATGATGGGCTCTCTGACCAGTATGCATACCTAAATAATGTATATTAGAGCTGATTTTCTCCATTCTGTTTATTACAATATACAGTACACAACTGCATAATTTTTTTTTTTTTAAACAAGTTGGCCGTCTCCCACCGAGGCAGGATAACCCAAAAAAGAAAGAAAATCCCAAAAAGAAAATACTTTCATCATCATTCAACACTTTCACCTCACTCACACATAATCACTGTTTTTGCAGAGGTGCTCAGAACACAACAGCTTAGAAGCATATACCTATAAAAATACACAAACATATCCCTCCAAACTGCTAATATCCCTAACCCCTCCTTTAGAGTGCAGGCATTGTACGTACTTCCCATTTCTAGGACTCAAGTCTGGCTATATAAAAATATAAAAATAAAAATACATGTATAAATACATGTTTTTAAAAAATATACCAGAAATGTTATAAATGGTGCAAAGGTGACATTAAAACAGTATCAGAGATGGTTGACACAAACCCACTACTATTATAGTATGCTCCTCACTTAGCAACGAATTCGTTTACCGACGTGGTCTCAGGAACGGAACTCTGTCGTTAAGTGAGGAGAGGCTGTAATAAATATCAACCGATACTCACCGATACCGATAATCAGTTGTAGACCGATACCATCAAAGTTAACTGATACCACCCAATACTGATACTTAGGCACATCCCTAAATAGTGTTAATAGAAAATGTTGTAGTTTTTTGTATCACCACTACAATTAATTCTTGTTCTGTTATTTATATAGGAAGCTGAAACTCTGAAAGGAGGAAATTGTATACTTGGCACCCCATCACTACCATCAAAATGTGCACGACTTTACCAGTGACACTAGCAAGATGCCTCCGCCATGGTTATATGTGATTACTGCTCGACAGTACTACTGTGAAGGTTTGCTGTGTTGTGTGAGGTTTGATAGTTTTTTGATCAGTGGCAGCTTACAGTATCAGAAAGTTACTCAAATAGAGCTACGTTCTAATGACACTTAGCAGCATTTGGGTATCTTTATTCTGGAAATGTTTCACCACCCGTAGCTTTATTTAGTCATGCAGAGAAGGTGAAGATGAGGAGTGTTGAGGTATTAGTCCTCGCTGGAGGAGTGATTATCTCAGACTTGATTTGACTGCCCGTCTCTATTCCACCTATCTCTGCATTTGACTGAAGAAACCACTGGCTGGCAAAATGTTTCCCGAATTAAAAACACCCAAATGTTGCACAAGTGCTTCGGTTATCAACTAATTATTTTTCTTAACCATTTATTGACACCCAAGTTTCTAATTGGAAATATGTGCTTATATGACTGCCATAATTTTTTTACCATATCTCATATAGATTTTAATCCATCCTAAGTATGAAAATTGAGTTGAGAAAACTTTATTACATGATTTCAAGTTGGATCTCTAAGAGAAAAAATATTGCATTTTATAATAGTCTGTGTGCCCCTGAGATAGGGTTAAGAGATATCATTGATTAGTGGCTGCATGGTAAACTACAAAGAGTGCTAGATTGTAATATTTTCTTATAATAATCTGTATTACCCATATAGATTGTTATAGCAGCATGAAAGAAATGGTTATAATAATAACCATAATTTTTAAAGGGGTGGACCAGTAAGCCAGCAGTCAGGTGACCAAAAGCTTTATTTAAAGTTTTAATTTTTTTGTTTGTGCATGCTTGTCTACCTGTCTGTCTGTCAGTGAATGCTGAATAATTTTACAAGTCTAAGCTCTGTACATCTTAAACACTTTCCTTCCTCCTCTTATGAATGTGCTCTATCATTTTCCACTAAAGATACCCCATTGCTAATTTTGGTTTTCTTGTCATCACTTTTTTTTTTTTTTCTTTTAGATATAAACCCATCACGTTCCTGAACACTTACTGGAACTTGGTGAAGGATTACCAGGCCATCAATAGCACCTCTGAGAACCTGGAGTTGAGCCTCACTTCCAGCCTCTGTCACTTTTTAAGTGGCAGTTGTATGCAGCTCAAGCTATGAAGAGCAGGTACGAATGCCAGTCTTTGTTGAATGAGTGTGAGGGCCAGCAGGGCCAGCAGGGCCGGCAGGACTGGGGAGGTAACGATCATGTCATCAGCCAGATTATTCATTTACCTGAAAATGAATGCCCTGCATTTGAGCTCTTATGGGAATTTTGAAAGCTTAAATTAAGAGGATTTGAATTGTCCGTGTTATTTGCAATTGCATGAATGTTCAAAATGGTGAATTTTTATTAGACTTGCTATTTTAAAATTAAAAAAAAAAAAATCAATGAACGTTGGATGATGGTCTTGTTATTGTTTTCATTATGTATTTAGTGATGAAATCCTTCTTCCATGAGCCATGTGTGTCGTAAGAGGCAACTAAAATATCGGGAGGAAGGGGCTAGTAACCCCTCCTGTATAAATTATTAAATGTAAAAAGAAGAAAAACTTTAGAAGGTTTTTCTTTTTCGAGTCGCCTGCCTCGGTGAGAGATGACTGGTATGTTGAAAAAAAAAATTAATAATGGGCGACTGGATTAACTTTGTTATACTGTACCATATATACATTGATGCTCCATTGAAGGTTAATAACGACATGACAATGTTTCTGATTGAAATTATTTTCTCTTTAGCTGAGAAGGAAGATTTGTTCAGTACTACTTGACTGTATTCTCTCATATAAAATTGACCTTTTGAGCTAAGATGCATTTTCCAACACATTATAAAACAAGAGCTCTATTATATTGTACACCTTGACTTTGATAAAGCTTGGCTTGTTGGAGCTTTAGGTGAAATAGAAAAGAATTTTCTCTCTTGTTATAATTCATTTTTCTTTAGGAGGTATGGTATAAAAGATTTAATTTTTAAGTACATAGTAGTATAATAATTTTGAGTTGGGTTGGAATGAATTATGCATCAGTGCATGGTAACAAGTAACTAGCCTTCACCACTGAGATAATCTTTTAAGATCATAAAAGTTGTGATCAAACAAAATGCCCTCAAATGAACTCTAAATTTCTCTATATAAGTGTATCTGGTGATTCAGTGAACAGAAGTTCAACTGAGGTATTCTTGTATAGTATTCTGTAACCTATGGAAATGTAATGCTTTACCCATATATAAATCTTGTGTTTGTTGTGCAGCATTAGATAATGTTGCTCAGTGAGCGGCATTATCAAACCAGGTTATCAGCTGCAAATGTGACTTACCTTGTATAATACTCTCTACTTTTAGTTGCTTTTGTAAAACTTTTTATTTATTTATCATGCCATTACGAAAAAGTGTAGATAGAAGTGGGTTTAAACACTGAATTTTTAGGAGAATCTTTGGAGTAGTGGTATACGCTTGACTTTTAATATGGAAGTTTTCATGAAAGGTAGAGGAGATTGTTTTCAAATTGTTCAAAGAGGATTGAATTTTTAATTCAGTTTGCTATTATACATTGTTTTTTCTGTTCTAGCTAATTAATGTTAATTATAACCTCACAAAAGCAAAATATTTGACTCTGATTTTTTCTTAATAAAAGGTGACCTGCTTTTCCTCTTTATGGAAGTGTATGTTTGCATCTTATTAAGGGTTTTGTGTCAGAATGAATTTGTCTTAGGTGCTTATATGTCTAGGACTCAGGGCAATAATCGTAAGATTGAGTTAAAAAGAAAAAGGCAATTATTTTTGAGACGTCATTTGATCAGGATATACATAGTTTGTCACAATCATAATTTAAATGATGTTGGTTTTATAAAATAGGAGATTCTGGCTTGAAATTGCATAGAAATGCTCGAGTTACATCTCCCAGTTCACAACTAGCCCATAATTTAGAGATGAAACGATATTACATTTAGGTCTGTCATAGAGCATTATCAAGCCCAGAACAGACTGGTTCATCTAATTTCATTTCCAGTATGTTAGTTAGTTGTGAATTGTTCCAGCTATAGTACTGAGACATTTATTCTTCAAGGTTTACACCTGAGCTGGAAGAGTTAAAAGTTTCACTCCATATGTAACAATGTCTCCTAAGCAAGCAATCTCCATTTCTGGGCTTCCTGTGATCAACTGTTTGAGACTTTCATTCTCCAAATTCTTTAATTCTGTAAGATGTAGACTTTTGTATAGTGTTTCAAAGAGTGTCAGGAACAGGTAATGAAAGAATTTTGCATGTTGGCTACCTATGATTACTTTTGACTTAGCATATAGAATGATTAACTCTTAAACGGTCCAAACAGATCGACATTCAAATCCGTAGTGCTCCAAAAGTAGATCTACGTTTTTTTTACATATTTTCAAATATAACAAAAAAAAATGTAGATAAAAGTTTTTTACACATTTTTAAATGTAAAACAAGAAAGATCATCTATATTTTTTTACATGCTTTCAAATGTTGAAAAAACGTATATATACGTTTGGACCATTTAAGGGTTAAATACAGAATATCATTAATTCTTTAAAATTATTTGGATAGATACACAAATAACCCGCACATAGGAGAAAGAAGCTTATGACGATATTTCGGTCTGACTTGGATCACCGACAAGTCACAGTAACACATAAAGGTGAGGAATCCAGTATACTGGCTCCTTCACCTTCGTGTGTTAGTGTGACTGTTTCAGTCCAACTTGTCACAATCTTCTTTCTACTATTATTATTATAATCAAATAATAAAGCGCTAAACCGACAAGGGTCATGCAGCTTCTTTCTCCTATGTGCGGGTTATTTGTGTATTTTCCGGTCATGGTATTGTGCATTTTTGTTCTTTATTTGGATAGATCTGAACTTTAGATAACTCATTTCTCATTGATATGATTTTAAATGTTACAGTATCTGCACTTGTCTGCTATCTTAAATGTCACTATCTTAATTTGTCCTTAATCATGAATCTTTTTTCTCACGATCTTTGCTTCATATTTTTCTGGGTAGATATATTTTAGCTTGAGCTTTTTTATGTAAAGTATGATCAGCAGTTTTCAGTCATGTGAACTTGTTTTTGTTAAACCATTACTATATTAATGTAGTTTTGTTGTATGGATGCAACATGGATCCCATTGCAAGTATGTAGTATCCCCATTATTAAGCAGCTTTTGCTTGTGCTGTTGTCATTACAATTACATTGACTGAACTGGCTGATTAACTGGGGCAAGTATTCTTAATTTTTGTGTTTATGAATCCAGCAATATTGGACACTTGCATGGCTATCAGGATTGTTCATTTCTTGGCAATAAAGTTTTTCTCTCTTTACTCTTCTGTTGCTTATTTTCCTTGGCTGCTCATACTCCTCTTGATAAGGTTCCTCTTGTCACATAGAAAGAATGGGATTGGGCTTTAATGTATGTGTAGAAGGGTATCCCATATTTAGACATGAAAACAGCAGTGGAAGTGACACTATTTTTATTCCCAATAGAGTCCTCATCAGCAGTGTAATTTCCATTGCTACTTTCCTGTCTACAAGTGGGATGCCCTTCAGTGGCATTGTTAGTGGAGTCGAATATAGTTTTGCCCTGCACTTACAGTCTTGTATAAGTATACCATGGTTTACACTGCTCAAGAAAACACTAGTTTTGCTAATCTTGAAAATCAAAGGTATGTTGAACCATTACCAGTCATAGTGCATACAATATGACTGGTAATGAAGTTACAGACTGACCCACATAGGCAGCTGCCAGAGACAGTTAGGTACGTGTCTCGCATAACACTGAGTTATAACAAAGAAAATAGACTGGCAAAAATATAGCAAGGCAAACAACAAATTATGCTGCAAACAGTGTGGTGAGAGTGTTTAAATAGCTCTGCTTAGATGAGATGGCTGCTGTGGAAAAAATGGTAGCCATGACTCGGTACCATTATGCTAGAACTCTTGTTCTAATGACCTGCATTCTCATGGTGTTAGTACACTGAGCATTTATAAATTTTTTATACATCTTCGCTCCTCAGACTTACCAGTTTTTACTAAAATTTATGATCTGGAAATACGTATTTCTAAAATAACCAAATATGTTTTCATTTTTTTTAAATTTTGAATTTTTCTTATATTTAAGAGTTAGTGTACTTTTGTTAATCATCGTTATAATCTTTGTACGTATTGTTCTAATTTGTGAGTCATTTCTTCTTAATATATTTACTGGGGAGAATATAGAGTAATACCTTAATTCTGATTAACTCTCTTTTATTTTAGGAATTCTTTCTTTTTATTGCAAGGTCATATGTTTCTCTTTATCATTATTTCCCTGGTTCATATTTGCAGGCCGTGGTGCTGGTGATGACTATTAATTCAAAGAATTTTAGCTACCCTCCTGTTCCTCAGATCAAACCTGATTACTTTCTATTCAAAAGCAGTATCATGATATTTGCATTTTAGTGCTTCCCCCATGAATGTAATAATAATGTTGTTGTTAGTGTGTGTTGGCAGCCAGACCTTCCCGTGCAACGCACCTCAACACTTCATTGCAGCTGCTTCTCACACACTGTCATGCAACAACACATAAATACTAAAATTAAGCTATTCATTATTTTGTTCAAATTATTTTATGCCATAGCAACCCCACGGGGGAAGTTCCTTGATCCATTGAGAGGCCTTGATCTGAGGAATTGGACCTGTACTCCCCTTCTTTGGATCGAACCTGAATACCTTCCTTTCTCTCAGGCGCTGTATGACTCCTACAGGTTTAGTGCTTTCTCATGAATGTAATAGTAATAATAAAAATTCCATAGCAAAGTTGTGTACTGTATTTTGTTTTATTTTTCATTCAAATCACTGGTTCAAAAATCACTGTTTCCTCAATCAATGCTTGATTGTGCTTTACTTATGCAGTGGTACCCGAGTTTCGGCCACAATTTGTTCCAGAAGGCTGTTTGAGTGCCGTTATGAATGAATTTGTTCCCATAAGGAATAATGTGAATTAGATTAGTTCATTTCAGGCCCCCAAAAATACACTTACAAAATCAATTACTACAATGATACACTTACATAATTGTTCAAGTTGGGAGCTGTACGAAACTCTGGGTACCACTGTATTAGTCTGTGTAGATAAAATCACTTGAATGACTTTTCAGAGCGTAATATATATTTTAATACAGCCTCTGGATTGGCTTAAAAGGTTATTTCTACTATGAATGTAAAATTTAAATTGCAGCCAGATGCAGGATGTAATTTTTCTGGGTTTTTGCCAGAATTACATTTTTAGGATGCCTAGGTCATCCCATGCAAAATTTGTACCAAAAAGTATTTAGCATTTAATTTTTTATGTGGGGTCTCCTACTTCCCTCAATTCAATTACTAAAGAAGTTTTCAGGTATTTTATTTCCTCTCTAATCATATTGTTGCAGATGGCCTGGGACTGCAATGTTGGAGGGTCTGGGTGGGGAGGAGGACGAGGAGGATCAAGACACCATCAAAGAAGCTTTCCTTGAGACCTCTCCCTATTTGCTCGCTCTCACCATCATCATCTCTCTCCTCCATTCAGTCTTTGAGTTCCTTGCATTTAAGAATGGTAAGGAATTTCTAAATTGTATACTGCTTGGTGGTAGACTGGATGCAGCGAGGTTCATCTTCATTATGTCCAAGCTTAGCGTAATTTGCAAATTTTTAAGGGAAAAGTTTTAACTACTGGTGCACCTTGGTTTTTGGATTACACTCAGAAAAGTATAATAATGTCGCACCTTGCCCGTTTGTGGAAATCTCGCAGACACCTTGCAAATAGGGTGCAGTGCTGTCTGGAGTTTCCCAAGACAGTCTATTTACTACAGTACAATGGTTCCCCGAGTTTCGTACAGCTCCCAACTTGAACAGTTATGTAAGTGCTTTTGTAACTGTATTTTTGGGGGTCTGAAACGGAGTAATCTAATTTACATTATTCCTTATGGGAACAGATTCGTTTGGTAACGACACTCGAACAGCCTTCTGGAACGAATTATGGCCGAAACTCGGGGTACCATTGTATTTACATTTTTGTTGTGAAAATTAGTGTAGGGAAAATGAGTGGAGTGCACTCGTGGTGCAGGAAGTAGAGGCCAACTCCTTATGTGAATTTACATATAAATTCTCTATGACAAAATCCACAATGTTGGGAATGTATCATACCAGTTATTGAATGAGAGATGGGACCCAGGATCTAGAGCTTGACATATAGTGAGACAAGTACAAATAAATATGACAAAGTTGAGACCTATTAGTCAATTAAGGGGTTAGAAGATAGGACCCAGGAGTTGGAGCATGATTCCTGTGAGCAGTAGATGAATACATTAATACATGTATTATGATCTGTCTTCCTCAATTACAACTACTTATCTGCTTTATTGTCTTCTCTCACACACACTACCTTACTACTGTCATAGTAAATAAATAATAATAAAGCTGCAACTCTTACTATGGTAGGCAATAAATAGTATAGCACATGGCTTGTCATGTTTCAGTTAATTTTTTATTCCAGATATTCAGTTTTGGAACAACCGTGAAAGTCTTGAGGGTCTGTCAGTGCGATCAGTCTTCTTCAATGTATTTCAATCAGTGATAGTGCTTCTCTATGTGCTGGACAATGAGACCAATTTTGTCATCAAGGTGTCCTGCTTTATTGGTCTTGGTATTGAGCTCTGGAAGATTACTAAGGTAAGTAATCTCAGATTTACTTTATTTTGGTTTTTATTTGAGCTGACTTACTTGGGCTACCCATTCCATACCATTGTTAAATGTTCCTTACTCTTTTTCATCCGTGTTTTCTGCCTTATCCCTAAAATTTTCAGGAATACAGTAGGACCCTTGTATCCGTGGGGGATACATTCCAAGACCTACCGTGGGTACATGAAACCGTGGATAGTAGTGAACCCTATATATAAGTCGTTTTTCATTTACATACATACCTATAATAAGGTTTAATTGATAAATTATGCACAATAAGTAAAAAATTAGCAGTGTTTCAATGATGAGAAGCACTTCACAGCTTCTCTTAGGCTTTGAACAACTGCCACCATCACTACTTGTGCACTTTGGGGCCATTATTAAGCAAAATTAAGGGCTATTTTTGGGCCATGGTAAACTATGGATAACTGAAACTGTGGAAACAGAATCTACGGATACGGGGTTCTATTGTAATTTAATATATACAGTACCTTTAGCTGATATACTCAGCAAACTTTTTTATATATTTTTTACCACACTGATCATTCTCTCTTAATTATTTTGTCCCCTTTTCTCTTATATCAGTATAACATAAATATTTGAATTAGTATTTAATGAATATTTTTTTAATCAACAGGTCACTGATGTTTCTCTTAACCGGGATAAGAGGATCATGGGTATCCCTACCCTCAAATTTACGGACAAAGGGACATACATCAAGTCAAACACAAGGCAATATGATGAACTAGCCTTCCGATATTTATCCATTGCACTGTTTCCCCTGCTGGGAGGCTACTGCATATACTCCCTTGTCTACCATGAGCACAAGGGGTGGTACTCATTTGTACTCTCCATGCTATATGGCTTCCTCCTTACCTTTGGTACATAATTACTCATTGCAAATTGTGTTAAATTCCTGAATATATAATTTTGTAATATTTACCTTTTAATTGTTTGAAATATTTTGTCATAGATAATTGGTAGCACTTTGCTGCATGCACCATACAGCCTGCTGATTTCACTTCATTGCTTAGTGGATGATAAACACAAAATGTAAAGCTAATTGTGTTAATATTTCAATTGAAAACTTATTAGTGATTCCTCCTAGGGTTCATCATGATGACGCCACAGTTGTTCATCAACTACAAGCTCAAGTCTGTGGCTCACCTTCCATGGCGGATGCTCACCTACAAAGCACTCAACACATTCATTGATGATATATTTGCTTTTGTTATCAAGATGCCAACAATGTATAGGTTAGGCTGCTTAAGAGATGATGTTATCTTCTTCATCTTCTTGTACCAGGTATGACAGTGTTTTAAATGTTGCACTTTGGAGGAGGAGGACGAGGGGGAGGCTGGAGGAAGTGGAAATGTCATGTCTGTGGGCACTGTGCGTTGTGAATACTATGCAGAGAATTTGTAGCTTGGAAATTAGAAGGTGCAAGATTTCTAAAATTATTTTCCAGAGGGCTGAAGAGGGGTTGTTGAGGTGGTTTGGATATTTAGAGAGGATGGAACAAAATAGTGACTTAATAATAATAATAATAATAATAATAATCCTAGGTAGTAGGTTGGTAGACAGCAACCGCCCAGGGAGGTACTACCGTCCTGCCAAGTGAGTGTAAAACGAAAGCCTGTAATTGTTTTATATGATGGTAGGATTGCTGGTGTCCTTTTTTCTGTCTCATGAATATGCAAGATTTCAGGTACGTCTTGCTACTTCTACTTACACTTAGGTCACACTACACACACTTTTTTTTTTTTTTTTTTTCTCTCTCAACAAGTCGGCCGTCTCCCACCGAGGCAGGGTGACCCAAAAACGAAAGAAAATCCTCAAAAAGAAAATACTTTCATCATCATTCAACACTTTCACCACACTCACACATTATCACTGTTTTTGCAGAGGTACTCAGAATACAACAGTTTAGAAGCATATACGTATAAAGATATACACATACATGTACAAGCATATATATACACACCCCTCTGGGTTTTCTTCTATTTTCTTTCTAGTTCTTGTTCTTGTTTATTTCATCTTATCTCCATGGGAAAGTGGAACAGAATTCTTCCTCCGTAAGCCATGCGTGTTGTAAGAGGCGACTAAAATGCCGGGAGCAAGGGGCTAGTAACCCCTTCTCCTGTATATATTGCTGGATTTGAAAGGAGAACTTTTGTTTTTCCTTTTGGGCCACCCTGCCTCGGTGGGATACGACCAGTGTGTTGAAAGAAAGAAGAAGAATAATAATCCTAGGTAGTAGGTTGGTAGACAGCAACCACCCAGGGAGGTACTACTGTCCTGCCAAGTGAGTGTAAAATAGAAGCCTGTAATTAGTTTTACACGATGATAGGATTGCTGGTGTCTTTTTTTCTGTTTCATAAACATGCAAGATTTCAGGTATGTCTTGCTACTTCTGCTTACACTTAGGTCACACTACACATGCATGTTTTTTTTTTTTTTTTTTTCAACAAGTCGGTCCTTCTCCCACCGAGGCAGGGTGACCCAAAAAAGAAAGAAAATCTCCAAAAAGAAAATACTTTCATCATCATTCAACACTTTCACCACACTCACACATTATCACTCCTTTTGCAGAGGTGCTCAGAATACAACAGTTTAGAAGCATATACGTATAAAGATACACAACATATCCCTCCAAACTGCCAATATCCCAAACCCCTCCTTTAAAGTGCAGCATTGTACTTCCCATTTCCAGGACTCAAGTCCGACTATATGAAAATAACCGGTTTCCATCCTTCACTAAATATTACCCTGCTCACACTCCAACAGATCGTCAGGTCCCAAGTATCATTCGTCTCCATTCACTCCTATCTAACACGCTCATGCACACTTGCTGGAAGTCCAAGCCCCTTGCCCACAAAACCTCCTTTACCCCCTCTTTCCAACCCTTTCGAGGACGACCCCTACCCCTCCTTCCTTCCCCTATAGATTTATATCTTTCCATGTCATTCTACTTTGATCCATTCTCTAAATGACCAAACCACCTCAACAACCCCTCTTCTGCCCTCTGACTAATATTTTATTAACTCCACACCTTCTCTAATTTCCACACTCCGAATTTTCCTGCATAATATTTACACCACACATTGCCCTTAGACAGGACATCTCCACTGCCTCCAACCGTCTCCTCGCTGCTGCATTTACCACCCAAGCTTCACATCCATATAAGAGTGTTGGTACTACTATACTTTCATACATTCCCTTCTTTTCCTCCATAGATAACTTTTTTGACTCCACATATACCTCGAACGCACCACTCACCTTTTTTCCCTCATCAATTCTATGATTAACCTCATCCTTCATAAACCCATCCACCGACACGTCAACTCCCAAGTATCTGAAAACATTCACTTCTTCCATACTCCTCCTCCCCAATTTGATATCCAATTTTTCTTTATCTAAATCATTTGATACCCTCATCACCTTACTCTTTTCTATGTTCACTTTCAACTTTCTACCTTTACACACATTCTCAAACTCATCCACTAACCTTTGCAATTTTTCTTTAGAATCTCCCATAAGCACAGTATCATCAGCAAAAAGTAACTGTGTCAGTTCCCATTTTGAATTTGATTCCCCATAATTTAATCCCACCCCTCTCCCGAACATCTTAGCATTTACTTCTTTTACAACCCCATCTATAAATATATTAAACAACCATGGTGACATTACACATCCCTGTCTAAGACCTACTTTTACCGGGAAGTAGTCTCCCTCTCTTCTACATACCCTAACCTGAGCCTCACTTCTCCTCATAAAAGCTCTTTACAGCATTTAGTAACTTACCACCTATTCCATATACTTGCAACATCTGCCACATTGCTCCTCTATCCACTCTATCATATGCCTTTTCTAAATCCATAAATGCAATAAAAACTTCCCTACTTTTATCTAAATACTGTTCACATATATGCTTCAATGTAAACACTTGATCTACACATCCCCTACCCACTCTGAAGCCTCCCTGCTCATCCGCAATCCTACATTCTGTCTTACCTCTAATTCTTCAATTATAACCTACCGTATACTTTTCCTGGTATACTCGGTAAACTTATTCCTCTATAATTTTTACAGTCTCTTTTGTCCCCTTTCCCTTTATATAAAGGGACTATACATGCTCTCCGCCAATCCCTAGGTACCTTCCCCTCTTTCATAATTTATTAAACAAAAGTACCAACCACTCCAACACTATATCCCCCCCTGCTTTTAACATTTCTGTCATGATCCCATCAGTTCCAGCTGCTTTACCCCCTTTCATTCTACGTAATGCCTCACGTACCTCCACCACACTTACATTCTGCTCTTCTTCACTCCTAAAAGATGGTATACCTCCCTGGCCAGTGCATGAAATTACCGCCTCCCTTTCTTCCTCAACATTTAAAAGTTCCTCAAAATATTCTCGCCATCTACGTAATACCTCCCTCTCCCCATCTACTAATTCCCCTACTCTGTTTTTAACTGACAAATCCATACTTTCCCTAGGCTTTCTTAACTTGTTTAACTCACTCCAAAATTTTTTCTTATTTTCATTAAAATTTCTTGACAGTGCCTCTCCCACTCTTTCATCTGCTCTCCTTTTGCACTCTCTCACCACTGTCTTCACCTTTCTTTTACTCTCCATATACTCTGCTCTTCTTATAACACTTCTGCTTTGTAAAAACCTCTCGTAAGCTACCTTTTTCTCTTTTATCACACCCTTTACTTCATCATTCCACCAATCACTCCTCTTTCCTCCTGCCCCCACCCTCCTATAACCACAAACTTCTGCCCCACATTCTAATACTGCATTTTTAAAACTATTCCAACCCTCTTCAACCCCCCACAAGCATATATATACACACCCCTCTGGGTTTTCTACTATTTTCTTACTAGTTCTTGTTCTTATTTATTTCCTCTTATCTCCATGGGGAAGTGGTACAGAATTCTTCCTCTGTAAGTCATACGTGTCATAAGAGGTGACTAATATGCCTGGAGCAAGGGGCTAGTAACCCCTTCTCCTGTATAAATTACTAAATTTAAAAAGAGAAACTTTTGTTTTTCTTTTTGGGCCACCTTGCCTTGGTGGGGATATGGCCAGTGTGTTGAAAGAAAGAACAATGTTTATTTCTACAAGTACTTGTACAAGGTATACAGGCCTGGCTTACATCTATGACTTACTACTGTGTAGAAAGCCTTAAAATGCAGAGCATTTGTCTTAAAATGCAGAGCATTTTAAGGCAAATTAGGTAAATTTTGTCCCCAGGATTTGACTTAAACCAGTTTTTTAACACCCAGGTATCTATTTTACTATGTAGGATGTGGACAGCAGGCCAAGGAACTACCTAATGTTTCCCCCGTCGGATGAACAAAACCTGTAATGTTTTACTGGTAGGATTAGCGTGTGCTTGGAATTCAGGTAAAGCGATTCTAGGAAAGTTGTGCTGATTGTAGCGGTAATAGGAATTTTGTCGTGTACAGGTGCAAGCATATATCAGCAACCTTGAGTTTCATTAGTGAGTTCTGTTGTGGGAAGTACAGTCTTTATCCTCTGTACTGCATGGGAATTTGCAGAATCTGTTTATACCATCGTTGAAGAGGGACTAAAATGCTGGGCAAGGGCTTAGTAACCTCTTTCTGTAATATACTAATGGCAAAGGAGAAACTTTACAATTATTTATTTGGGCCACCCCGCTCGGTGGATACTGAGTTGTTGAAAGAAAGAAAGAAGTATCTATTTTATTGATATGTGAACATGGACAGCAGGTGCCTTAAGGAAACACGTCCTAATGTTTCCACCCGTACCAGGGATCGGCCCCCAAATCTTTGTGTGAGCTGAGTGTGCTAGCAGTTGAGCTATGGGAAGACAGGGTAGAAGTCGTCCTAGGAAAGGTTGGGGAGAGGGGGTAAAAGAGGATTTTGTGTGTAAGGGGGCTTAAATATCCAGCAAGCATGTGTAAGCATGGTAGATAGGAGTGAGTCCTGGAGGTGGGAAAGTACAGTGCCGCGTCTCTAAGAAGATGAGGATATTTGCAGTTTTGAACATGTATTATCAACAACTCTGAAAGAACAGTGATGGACTTAGTGTGATTTGAAGTGTTTTTACGTGTTTTTGGGTACCAACCTAGTGGGAGAGGACCCAGTATTTTAACAAAAATAATGATAATATACTTACAGACTTGAAATAAATATTAGAAAAATTATGACAAATATATATATTGGCTAGGTCTCGTATACTACAACAGGTTCTTACATACATTGCTGTACAATGCATAAAATTTTTAAATTGGCATGTTCTAATTTTTCACACTGTGCTCTCATGTTTTATGTTTTGCAAGTTTCGTAGTAATGTTTGTGATTGTATTGTTCTTTGTTTTGGAAAAAATACCTAATAGCAAATGTATGGTGCATGATATATTGTTTTCACTTTACATGTTGATGATGTATGCCACACTGTGGTCTAAATTTTTGGTGCTAAAAAACTGTATTTAAACGAAGTTGGGTTAATGTATAAGGAACTATGTTAAACTAGGACAGAGTGTTTACGTGCTAAAAGTTGTACTCTACTAGCAAGAGCATATTTATAATTTATATTCTTTATTTGTTTCCTTATACATATATATTTTTTTACAGAGGTACATCTATCGTGTAGATCCTTCAAGAGTGAATGAATTTGGGTTCTCCCAGGACATGGAGAAGGAGGCAAGAGAGAAGAAACAAGGAGCTGCTCTGGGCAATGGTGCTGCTGCAGCAAAACTAGACCCACCGAAGTCTTTAGAAGAGAAGAAGGAGGATTAAACTTGTATGTGAATGAAAAGTATATAGTATTGTAAATGTAGTTTCCATAGTGTATATGGGGAAGTTTTATATGAATTATCTTCCACGGGATGGGAAGTGGTTATGATAAATTGTATCAAAAAGACTTGTATCTGAATGGTTATCAATGCCTCTTGAACTTGGCTTGGTGAACAATGCTGCTGTGCCACTTGAACAAAACGTTTGAGAGTTCTTTTACAGCTGGAATTTAATTCTTGGGATGCTTGGCCTTCATGCATTGGAGTAATGTACTTTATTTTTGCCTATTCCAAGAATTATTTTACTTATTATGCATTGTATGTTTGATAGGACTGAAGTGTGCAGATCTTAGTTTGCTGAATGCTGAGTAAAAATCCATTGATATATAAACATCCTGTTATCTTAAGGATGTAAAACATTGTGTAAAAGTCTGTTATCTGGTGACAGATCCCTGGGACCACTACCAGCCAAGGAAGGGATTAGTTTTGACATTGGTAATCACTACCTGGAGGAAAAATATGTTATGATCTTCTCTTCATAATGTGGTAAGGGTCTCTTAGGTTAGACGAAATATTGCATATAGTTCAAATTACAGGCCAATAATGGTAAAAATGTATATTTTTTTCCTGTACACTTAACATGCCACAAAAGAATTCATCATAAGATGCAACCATAGTTGACTGTAGATTTTTTTAGTCATACAGTATTTAATTTTTTAATAAATTTGATACTGTTTTTCTGATTTATAGTTCTAAATACAAGGAATTTATAGTAATGTTTTATGATTAATTTAGTATTTAACATAATATATTTATGTTTTGTTTATACCCAGTGCTGATTATTGTGGGGATGTGGGTAATGCGTGAGTGTGTGGTTGTTTGTCCACACTTTACCTAGTTGAGTTTGCCAGAGTTGCATTTTAGTGCCAGAGCTGGTCTCTTAACTTTCGAATCTCTTATGTGAGCTAGCCCATATCAACTTTACCGTGGAAATCAATTATGTCACTGACGTCATTCTATTTCTGCATTCCTTTGTATTTCCTAATTCATATGGTTCATAGGTATTACTGCTTCCATCTGTGTTAGCTTGTCCTGTATCCATATATATCCAACAGCCTATTATCAAGGGAAGGGGGGGGGATACAGTGGGGCCCATGCTAACCTCCCTGTGTTTATAAATATACCTATTGGATGAATCTTATTGTAGCCAGCTGGTACAGTGGTTTATGCACTGACTTGATGTTTTACGACTCGTTCGCCATGGGTTTTAACCCCACCCATAAGTGGTTTGTTATCGTTGTGCTATTATGACTTCGTGATTCAGGATGAAGGATGAAATGTCATGTGATCAATATATTCAAAGTACTTCATAGGTAGAGAAGGATTGCCTGCACAAGGGAAGCAACAATAACAAGAGAGATGAGGTGAAAATTACACACCATATGAGTCACAGATATATCAGGAAACACTTAAACATTAGTTCTACAGAAGTGGAATGGTTTGTAGAGTGAAACAGTGGAAGCTGTCTCCATATAAGGGATCATATAGTAGGTATAATGAAGCTGTTTCATATCACTCTTGTTGAGAGTTTAAGATTGGATCAAGAGGTATGAGCTCATCCTCACAGACTCAAATAGGTAATTGTAAATAGGTAATTACACACATATCATATGCATAATATTATGGTATACTAATTGTAAGTTTCCTTAATGCATAATTTGCATGCTCATTCTTAACAGATGAATTTTTTTGAGGTTCCTTTTGTTGTTTATTGATGGAAAAATATATTAACAAATTATAAGAGCAGCAGGAATGTAAGGGAAAAAAAGGAAGAAATTCTCATGACTGACCTTGGATACGTAAGAGCACTTAGACACCTGTGTTGAGCGTAATGCTGTATTATCCCTATTGTCACTTCAGTGTGTAGACCTAACCGTTTTCCCTTATTTAATTTGGTAAACATCCTGATTAGGTTCAAACTATTTGGACACGTATGATAAATTGGACAGTCCGTCATATAAAATGTTCTGTAATCCTATTTGTTTATTCTGCAAATAATGCAACCAGCATGTTTGCTTTCACGACTGAATTGTCTACGTGAGAATTTGTAACATCTGTTTTTAAAATAATGTATTGGATTTTATTAATTATTTTTTTAATTACTGGAAAAATTTTTGAAACTAGATTTTTTCTCTGACTGAGATGGGTATAGGAGAATTTTCCTATGTTTTAAAATATGAAATTTGGTCTTTTACTGTTTTTTGTGGTAATTAAAAAGTAATTTTTTGCCTAATATTTTTATTAAAGAGAGGGAAAGGGAATGATTTTCCTATGTTTTCCGGGTTTGAAAGTAAATGTATTTGAGCATATAAGATAAATGTAATTATAATTTTTGTGATATTTTATATCTAGTAAACATTGGAAATGCTTCATAGATATTTTAAAATCCATATTCTTCCTGTCAAGAACTTGAGCATCATTTAATTGCTGACTATAATGTATAAAATTTTCATCCAGTCCATGTATACAGGTGGTAAAATTGTGTAATTGTTTCATGCAAAATTAATATCATGTTGATTGTCCTTCACTTGTATCAAAGTGTTTGCTGATCTTGTATCAGGCGGGAAAAATGCTGGTAATTAGCTGTTCTGAAAAATAAATACTTATGATCCTTAACTTCTGGATGTTTGATTTGTATCTTTCTAAATATGTGGTTAGCTGGTCCTGAATATTGGTGTTTATTGTATTTTCTGGAGCAAGATAAAAATTTTATGTAAAATTTGTGCAGGTTTCTCGTTTGGGAACATTTGGTGTTTATAAAATCTGGAAAGTAAATATGTGTGTAAGACTTTTCCCAAAGCCACCCCAGTTGTAAAGCCATTCCTGCAGGGGTTTAAGTGGTTTGTAAACTGGCCGGTGTGTAAGCCACTTGGCCAGCCGGGCCCAGTGTGTAAGCCACTTGGGTAGCTGGCCCAGTGGGTTACACACTGGCCTGGAGTTTTACAACTCACTTGCCATGGGATCAAACCCCACCAGTTCCGTGGTTTATTAAAAGCGAACAGGTGTATGCATATATATGTTCAAAGGTTGTACAGTATTCGCATATCTAGCAGCAGAAAGTATAAATGCTGTGTGTATTAGGTCTTTCATCGCTGTCAGAGATGTGTCCTTGGGGGTATTAGTTGTGGATTAAGAATTTACTCGATAAATGCAGCGAGTGCAATATCCTGTGAGAATATCTGTTGTGTGTGAACTTGGCTAACATATAGCCAACAGGAGTTTGATTTCATAGATTTTTTTAATGATTTGTGTAACTTTATTTACAATTACACTTAAACAACTGTTATCAGCTCCTGCTTTAAGGAAGCTTCATTTTTAAACCATTATTTTAGTACATTAATACTGGTAGTGTTATTTTTAGTCTTGCTCTATTACTATATTTTGGTTTAGTATTTATTTACTAGATTTTTGTAATTATTTTTGAGTGTATATATATTTTGTAAATTAACAGGAATAGTTGTACTCTCATATGTAGGAATGAATAACTTAAATTTTTTTTTTTTTTTTTTTTCAACTTAAATATTGGCATTAATAAGATAAAAAAATTCATGTGTAGTGACTTTTATGGTTTGCTGAGAAATGCGAGGTGGCAAAATTGTGATACTGTATTTTACTCCGAGTAATATAAAGATTGAAAGGGCATATTACCAACAGTAGTGAAGAGATGACACATGTTCCAGGACAAGCTTTTATTGAGTCAGTGTTTCCCTTTGTAGAGCGTTATGTAGTCATCCTGACTTGATAAAGCTCTACACAGAGTCAAACATTGTTCCAACAAAGGCTTGTTCTGCACACCTTTTCTTCACAAGTCTATGGTGTATACAAGGCTGACAGTTTTCATTACTGTATACTGAGGTTATCCAGTTGTCGTCAAGGATATAAATGGCTTCATAGGCTTTTCAGTTTCTTGTTCAGTATTAGAATCAATTACAAAAAGACCAAAATAAAGAATAATTGTTATCAGGAATGTTGTTTGTGGAGTTATCCTTTCATTTAGGCTAGGCTTTGTGTTATTTTAAGGTCTGTTGGGGCCAGATACAGCAGCTTCGTGCATGCCAGAGTGCCTTCCCCAGATAATTGTTATTATACATTACTTTTATCCTGGAATTTATTAATATACAAAGATGTGCTGATGCTTAAATATTGAAATTTATTATTTTTTTTTTTCAACAAGTCGGTCGTCTCCCACCGAGGCAGGGTGACCCAAAAAAAGAAAGAAAATCCCCAAAAAGAAAATACTTTCATCATCATTCAACACTTTCACCACACTCACACATTATCACTGCTTTTGCAGAGGTGCTCAGAATACAACAGCTTAGAAGCATATACGTATAAAGATATCCTACCATATTTCAAAGTATTGATGTGGTGTTGCCATCTGCGGCAAAAAATGTTATTTTTATTTTTGGGGTAGAAAAAAAAAAGTCCATATGAAAAACTAATCCAGGAATATATAATATCCAGAATACTTTTTTACACTTGCTTTTTTTTTACTCCAAAACTTTGCAGTTCACAGGCTTTTGTTTTACACCCACTTGGTAGTATGGTTGTACCTCCCTGGGTGGTTGCTGTCTACCAACCTGCTACCTAGGACAGTGTTGATATATAATATATAATACATGTAACATGTATATGATACTGTGGAGAAGAATTCTTCCTCTGTAAGCCGTGCATGTTGGAAGTAGTGACTAAAATGCTTTGAGCAAGGAGCTAGTAACCCCATTCTTTTGTATAAATTACAAAATTTAAAAACTAGAAAAACTTACAAAAGCATTTCTTTTTTTGGGTCACCTGCCTTGGTGGGAGATGGCCAGTGTGTTAAAAAAAAGAAAATTTTGTAAAATCTTCAAAGCTTTTCATTCTTAATAATTTCCAAACATTTAGTTTCAAAATTTCATATTTTCTGAAAGTAAAAAGTTAAAACCAAGAAAATTTATACTGATGGGCCTTCAGCTTATTTTCTAGAATTAAAAATGTGAGTTCCCATTGATGTTCATTGTAAACTCAAGATACAAATTTCTTATAAAATTTTTTTATGCAATTCAATAATTTATCTAGAAAGGAGGACAAGATAGTCTGTACCTTAAATATTTAGCTATTTTTTTTTTTTTTTTTTCAACAAGTCGGCTGTCTCCCACCGAGGCAGGGTGACCCAAAAAAGAAAGAAAATCCCCAAAAAGAAAATACTTTCATCATCATTCAACACTTTCACCACACTCGCACATTATCACTGTTTTTGCAGAGGTGCTCAGAATACAACAGTCTAGAAGCATGCACATATAAAGATACACAACATATCCCTCCAAACTGCCAATATCTATAGCTATATTGTATGTAAATGAGTCTACTAATTTAGTGAAGCTTGTTTGAGTGGAGTATTATGCAGATTATAAGGTGGGAGACATACAATAACCTGGTCTTCTACGTTTTAAGGAAGAAAGCTTTGATGTTGGTGCAGGGCTGGTTATTTAAGGAATTGGAGCTACCCATCCTCCTCCTTGGGTCAGTACTACTGTAATTACCTCCCATTTATTGTGTGCTCTACGACCCCCTTATGTGTTTAGTGCTTCACCAGGAAGGTGGTAATAATCCTGTGGCTTTCTGCCTCTTTTTACTTTCGAGGGGAGGGTATACCTGGAGTATACCTGGGGAGGGTTCCGGGGGTTAAAGCCCCCACAGCTCGGTCTGAGACCAGGTCTAGTGGTGGATCAGGGTCTGATTAACTAGGCTGTTACTGCTGGGATGCAAGTATAAAATACATATATGTTGTTGTGTGCTCTGTAGAGAGCTAAACCCACAGGAATTGCTCATCAACTGAAAATAGCATTGCTAATAAGGTGGAGATGGTTTGTGACCTACAGAGAACATATTGAAAAATATTAGATAATTGGGAGTTCCATTGCACACCTTCCTACTGTTGGCACTAAATGACCCATTTGGGTTTAGCACTTCCTTGTGAATGTGGAGATTATCATTACAGTTTTTTAGTTAGTTTCCTTGTTTTAGCACTCTGCCCGTCTCCCACCAAGGTAGGGTAGTACCGTGTTGTTATAATCATACAGATTGTCAAACCTGTATGGGTCATTTGGTGCCGTCAACATACATAAATAGTAATAATAATAATTTACTGAGCACATTTAAATAACCCCTGATTTATTTTAATACTAATTATCTTTCACCAAATTGTACCTAATACTTTTACATAACTGAAAAGATTAAAGATAAATACAGTAGGTTTAAACGATAACAAACCAGTAACTATGTTCGGTGAGTACCCTTTAAATTCCTAAGATATTGTGAAGTAGCTTCGCCAAATTTTGGTCTCAAACTCCTACAAAGCCCAAAATAACAACATAATTGGTCTGCATCAAGGATAACCGTTATGGGTCATGAAAATTTGGCAAAAATATTCTTCATTTTTGATTGAAATTCTCTAAAGGTTCTATCATTGTACCTCGCCTAAGTTGCTAACTCTCCCTCTTAAGTTGCACGCATTACAAGTTGATTTAGGCAAACTATTCTTTCATTGCAAATCTACTGCTGGAATTTCGATTTAATTTTCCATCTTCTTGAGTCCCACCAAATGTAATTGTTTTTCACTTCCTTGGGCATCCAAGGTTCAGCCTTGAGGTGCGAGAGAAGAGTTTTGCAGGCTATATAAACCTGACGCTCCTGTGAGCTCAAGCGGCTCAGTACTTCAGCCTCGGCTCCGGCAAAGCTACAACGCCATTCACCATCAGCTGTATTACTGAGGTACACTTGGTGATGTTGTCTGGCGTCAGTGGTGGTCTTCTCACTTCTGGAGGCCATGGGACAGCCAACACGGGAACCAAGTCTATGTTTCATCAACAGAAGTGGATAATCCTTTCCCTGCCATGCAAATGTTAAGGACACTCCTACCTGAGTTCTTGTCACTCCTGGAGGCACTAGACTTAATTGACGGTTTTCAATCGCATGAGTTTCAAGGCAACTTCTCACTAACTCGTAAAATGTGTTTATCAAAGCATTTCCTTGTAGTCTTGGATGTTCTGATTTTACAACAACTCTCAGTCTGTGTCCACTCAGAGCTGCTTGTTGGGAATTTTGCTCAACAATTTCTATATCAACTCCTGGGATATTAGAAAGCACAACACTTATATCATACTCATCAGGTGCATATAAGCGGCTGCCATCTGATGAACTCCCAACAGTTGTGAGTTCACCTTTATACAAGCTGTCAACACTACTGATTTTATCCATTATGATTTGCACTTCATTGGTCAGAGCCATTTTCACCCTCATAGCTTCACCTTTAGTAAAGTCAACAGTGATGTTGTTTAAGTTTCCCAAGACATCCCTTATATTAATAAAGTTTAGTATCTTCTTGATCGCTTCGGATGGATTGTTGAACACCACTGCACTTTCCGAGTTAGTTTCAATTTTTCTATAACGATACAAATAGTCTGTAAAGTTAGCACTAACCTCGCTGGGTATTGTCCCAGCAACACTCAATGGTGGTTGATCTAACATGTGTACCTTTAACTGTTCATAACTTGTATCATGACCAAACATGGCAGCAAAGTGGGCAGGGGTATGGCCATAGCGGTCCTGTTTTAAAGGGCTCGCACCAAGACTTAAGAGGAGGGCTAAGCTGGCTGAGTTACCGTGGGAGGCAGCTTGATGGAGGGCAGTAGAGTCGTGTGTAGCATCAACCACCACATCAACATTAAGACCGCCCACAGTAATCAAGAGATATGTTAACTGCAGCAGCCCATTACGGCACGACACCAGAAGACTGTATGAGCTGATGAGTGATCCTTGTGGTGGTGAAGCAGACAATTGTCTTTCTCTCATAGTAGTGTGTGCACGATATCTAATATACAAATACTTGTATATGTCAAGAACTGCCTGTAGTTCATCCTTTTCCTCTTTATCTTTGGCATTTTCTATAATATCTTCTAATTTATGCTTTTCTTGGTGATATAGAACCTGAAATAAATGATAAGTACATTTAATGAATTATAATTCAAATGAGAATTTAAGTAAGATCCAAAGGGGTCACATATCTAAAGAATTTAAATTGGAGGCAGTTGTATAATATCTAAGAAAGAGGGAAGTTCTAATTTCCTGCCCTTCAGTGGCATCCTGCCACCTCTATTGACAGTCAATTACAGTAAAATCAGTGTTAAGAAACCCGTCAGCGACAGCTTTACTACACCTACTTTGATTATACTTTCCTTGAGCGTTCACCACCCTTACTGACTCTGCCTCCAGCATCCTTGTCACCCTCGCTGGTCTCTGATCTGGCATAGCACATCTTTAGCACATCCTACCCTGCAATGCTGTATGACCCTTGTGGGTTTAGTACTTAAGTTTTGATTGCAATAGTAATAAACCCCTTGAGGGAGGTTCTGTGATGCCGTGAGGTTCTGATATTAGGAACTGGATCTGGTCCTTCCCACACTTGGACTGAGCCTCACTATCTCTCATTCTCCAGGACACTGCAGTGCAGTATGACCCTGGTGGGTTTAGTGCTTAGTTTTGATTATAATAAGCCCTTGTGTGTTTAGAATTTCCTGTTAAATATATTACAAGTTCCTTGTTTCTAGTGAGAGGTTTTTGTCTAATGAATTAGAGCTGATCACTTCTTCCCCGGCACAAGCATAGATTATCTCCCAGTCCCCGAGGCACCGTATGTCCCCTACAGGTTTAGCGCTTCCCCATAAATATAATAATGTGATGATCAAAGATATAATGAAGGCAGTGCTCAGTGACTCACACTATTTAAAAGTTTTTGCGATTATAGTAAAAATAATGAACTCTGTAAAACCCCATGAATATAATTACAGCATAATGGATCCTTCAAGAGTGGGAGAGGCTTTGATGAAGGTGAAAGGCTTTTAATCCAAGCAACTGGAGCTACCCTTTTCCCCCCTCTGATGAAACCTGATTACTTCTCGCTTCTCAGGACCTGCCTCAAGGGAGGTTCCTTGATGCTGGTGAGGGGCTCTTGATCTAGGGAACTGGATCTAACCTAATCTGGATCAAACTTGATTACCTCCCGTTGTCCCCAGGTGCTGTACAACCCCTATGGGTTTAGGTCTCCCTCCAAAAGAAAATAATTGAAAGTAAGAGCTTACATCTTCTATGTAGTTGCTGTGATGTTCTGGTAGCATATGTAGAGGCAGTGTTGCTGCAGAGTCAGGTATGTAGAGGCAGCCACCCAGGTGTGTCAGCAGCAACTCTGCAAGCTTCCAGTGTCGAGCCTGCATGGCTGCATGCACACCTGTAACACCTGCCTCATTCCTGAGGAAACACTTGGCACCAGCCTGCCTGAGGAAGGTGGCTGCCAGGGGGCAGTTGTTACTAGCTGCCATTACCATCAGGGAGGTGAGGTTAGTCAGTGGCAGGGCCATGAGGTCTCCATGGTCTGGACCTCCAGGTCTTCTCAAGGTTCAACACCATGGGTTTAGCCCCGGGTCTTCCCTTGATGCGACTTTTCCTGCTTGAAAACCTGCAAAAATTCGCAAAAATAAAACTTTCTGAAAAAATACGCTGAGGATCATTACTGACACCCTTTAGGGGTTTAGTGCTTCATTATTAAATAATAGGTCATTAAAAAGGCTCTTGATCCAAGAATGGGGAGCTACCACCCTTTTCCCCTTGGAACAAACCTAAGTATTTTCATTCAAGTGCTTTATCAATCTGTATGACCCTTGTGGGTTAGTGCTTTTCTACAATTTTTTTTTAAAACGATATATAATAAAATAGTACAGACCTCTAGTGTTAGTGCTTTTTAATATATTACTGCTGTAAAAATTTTTTTTGCTACTACAATAGGTAAAGTTGGTAAGTTGGGTAAAGAGGTTAGATTGGAAAGGGTTTGGTTAATTTAAGTTAGGTCGTTAGGATAGTTGGTTGTTAGGTTAGTTAAGTTATTTAGGTTAATTGGTTAAGTTAGGTTGGTTAAGTTAGGTTAAGTTGGTTAATTTAGGTTTGGTTTAAAGTTGGGTTTAGATTAGGTTGTTAGGTTGATTAATTTAGGTTAGGTTAAGTTAGGTTAAGTTAGTTGGGTAGGTTAGTTGGGTTAGGTTAAGTTAGGTTAAGTTATTAAGTTAGTTTGGGTTTGGGTTTAGGTTAGGTTAGATTAAAAGTTGGGTTAGGTTAAGTTAGGTTATTTTTAAGTTAGGTTGGGTTGGGTTAGGTTGGGTTTTAATTTAGTTAAGTTAGGAAATTTTGGGTTTTAAGTTAGGTTTAGTTAAGTTAAAATAGTTGGGCTTAGTTAGGTTAGGAAAAGGTTTTTGTCAGGAAACAGGACAAGTTTTCCTGACACTTGAATTGGAGACTGACCCTTGTGACAGCACTTGCCCGAGGGTGACATCATTACCTCCAGGCCACCGCAGCAGTGACAGCCCAGCTGAGCAGGGGGTCGCGGTCCCCCAGCTGCCACAGGGGCTGGGATCCGGGTCTTTTGCGGTTTGGGCCCAAAAACCCCACATGGTGTAGAAGCCCCTCCTGGGCCTCCAGGGGCGAAAAAGGATTGACAGGGAGCCCTGGGTCGTCTCTCTTGCGATTTCCCTCAGCACTGCTTACAGTGCTGAGGTGCTGTGCTGCTTTAATGGTTTCGTGGGGGACAGCAGCTAAAGACCCTTTAAGCGAACTGACTTTATAAAAGCTCGACACGTGAAACAGATAAAAGCTCTAACATGAAACTGATAAAGCCGACACAGTGAAACATGATAAACTCTACACAGTGAACAATAAAGCTCTACACAAGAAAAATGATAAACCTAAAAACGTGAGCAGATAAAGCTCTACACAGTGAAAATGATAAACTTACACAATGAAACAGATAAAACTTACACTAAGCATATAAAGCCTACCAGTGAAAGATGATAAAGTCTACAAAGAAAATGATAAAACTCTCCAGTAGAGCATGATAAAGCTCTACACAGTGAAAATTTATAAAGCTCTACACATGAAAATGAAAACCTAACAGAAGACATTAAAGCTCTACACAGTGAAAATGATAAATCTTACACAGAAGAGAGATAAAAGCTCTACACAGTGAAAAATGATAAGCTCTACACAGTGAAACTGATAAAGCTCTACACAGTGAAACATGATAAAGCTCTACACAGAAAGCATGATAAAGTCTACACAGTGAAACATGATAAAGCCACACAGGAAACAGATAAAGCTCTACACAGTGAAAGGATAAAGTCTACCAGTGAAACGTGATAAAGCCTACACAGTGAAACTGATAAAGCCTACCAGTGAAACTGATAAAGCTCACACAGTGAAACTAAAGCCCTCACATAAAGCATGAAAGCTCTCACAGAGTGAAACGTCGCAGTAAAAGCTCATGAAAAACCCCGCATTATTCCGTCCCCAAAAATATTTTATTTATTATCGAAAAAATGTTGTAATTTTTTAATTGGCGGGGCGTATTCTTATAGTGAGGGTTTACGTGATTAAAAATCCAAATTATTGTGTCAAAATTGTAAATTGGGGTGTCTGACGAAATTATTAATGGGGGAAAACACATTATTAGATTGCTGCATGATCCCTGTGGGTTTTTGGCTTTCCTGATGTTGGGATGGTAAATGCATAGGGGGGGGATAGTCTGACGGGGGATGAAGGTGATTTGGTCCATTTAATCAGTTCCTCCTGTTCACCCAGCAGTAAATAGGTACCTGAGTGCTAGTATACTGTTGTACTCGCCTGTTTTTGGTTGAAGGGGTTGATTCACAGCTCCTGACCCCTTTCTATGGTAGTGGTTACCTGGAGGATGCTTCGGGGGTCAGGATCAGGACCTGATTAAACAGGCTGTTACTCCTGGCCGCACGTAAACCAACGTAGGAACCACAGCCCGGCTGGTCAGGTATGACTTTATGTGTCTGTCGAGCGCCTTCTAGAAAACAACCAGGGGTCTTGAAGACAACCAGGGGTCTTGAAGACAGCCAGGGGTCTTGAAGACAGCCAGGGGTCTTGAAGACAAGCCAGGGTCTTGAAGACAGCCAGGGTCTTGAAGACAGCCAGGGGTCTGAAGACAGCCAGGGTCTTGAAGACAGCCAGGGGTCTTGAAGACAGCCAGGGTCTTGAAGACAACCAGGGGTCTTGAAGACAGCCAGGGGTCTTGAAGACAACCAGGGGTCTTGAAGACAGCCAGGGGTCTTGAAGACAGCCAGGGGTCTTGAAGACAGCCAGGGGTCTTGAAGACAGCCAGGGGTCTATCTATTGGACCACTAGCCATGTGTGTTCCTACTGGTGCTAAGTCACCCCCCCCTTACTCAACATCTTTCCATCCTGATTGTAGATAAATAGTTCAGAGAAACAACAAGTTGATAATTAGACACATATGCAACATTTAGGTATCTTTATTGTGGAGACGTTACACCACACACTGGCTTCATCAGTCCTTTACAGAGAAGAAAGGTGAAGATCAGTAGATCGAAGTAATAAACCTGGAGTCGATGAAATCAGTCCATCAATCTTAATAAGAATACAGCATATGAGCGAAGAAGTGGTTTATAACCTCTTGTGTTCTTCAACACTTTCTTTGTATTAGCCGGATGAAGCTACTGTGTGGCGAAACTGTCTTCAGTATAAATATCCATATGTTGTATAAGAGTCTCATTCTTTAGTAAGTGAAGACGAACAATAACTAACCTGAACACCAGCAGCTTCTGTAATGACCTGACTCAAGTGTTGATGACCAGCCTGGCGAGCCAGGTCAGCTGGACTCTCTCCATCATGGGTCAGGGCCCAGGGCAGCACCTTACAGTTGTCTATCAGGGAGCGAACAATGGTAGGGAAGCCTAGTTTAGCTGCCCAGTGGAGGGGCGTCAAGCCATCGACGTCCTGGTAATGGCTGTCTCGATTCTTGGGAAGACTGGCCTCCAGCAACACAAAATCCTTTTTCTTCACCCATTCCAGTGTCTTGTGGCCTTCACTCTCGTATTCCTGCCAGCTCCTCGCCTTCAAATATAAACAGGCTCTCATATTTCTGTTAACAGGGATTAAGGTACTAATTATATAACAAAAATATCCCAAAAAATCTGCAGCCTGAATTACCACGTTATAATGTGTTTACAGAAATTGATTAATAATAATTAACAGGAACTTGAGTTACCATGAGTGAATGAGTGTCTGATTGAGTGTGTGAGTCAGTGTTGAGTTTAGGCAACTTCCTCAAGAGCCAGGCAGTGTTATGACTGCCCCAGACTTCTGCAACATCCTCAGCAAGCAGTCCCGACTCCTCCCTGGTTTCGGGGTTAAGTCCTGCTTTATACAGCTCCTGGACACCCGCTTCATTCCCAGACAAAGCCGCGATGTGCATGGCTGTGAACGTTTGAGAGTTGACTGCAGAAACGTTGCAGCCTGAAGCCAGCAACAGCCTCAAGGCTTCAGTAGAGTTGCCCAGCACTGAAACATGCAGTGGAGTACGCTGCATATTGTCCCTGGCATTGACGTCAGCTCCGGCATCAATGAGAGCCTTGATGCAATACACATTGTTTCGTCTCGTTGCTATGTGCAGGCTGTGTTGCCTGCAACATTAATATTGTTATTATCAGTATTATTAATAATATATAGACCATGAAGCATGTTATTCACTCTCAGTAATTGTAATTCCTAAGTAATAGTAACTCCAGCCGTGGTCTAAAAGTAACTCCAGCCGTGGTCTAAAAGTAACTCCAGCCGTGGTCTAAAAGTAACTCCAGCCGTGGTCTAAAAGTAACTCCAGCCGTGGTCTAAAAGTAACTCCAGCCGTGGTCTAAAAGTAACTTCCAGCCGTGGTCTAAAAGTAACTTCAGCTGTCAAACTGTTAAAACCCCACTGCAACACTTGAACCCCAAAATTCACTGCAACACTGCAAAATCCCCCACTGCAACACTGCAAATCCCACTGCAACAATTTAAAATCTTCACTGCAAAACCCAAATCCCCACTGCAAAACCCACAAAAAACTCCCCTGCAAAAACAGGCCACCAACCTCACTGCAAAATTGACAACTTACTGCAACACTAGACCCATCCTCACTCCCAAAACTAGACAACATCTCACTGCAAACGACAAATTTCACTGCAACATAGACAAATTTCCCCCTGCAACACTAGACAACATCCTACTGCAACCTAAAAACTTTACTGCAACACTAGACAACACCTCACGCAACCTAACACATCCTCACTGGCCCCCAAAACTAGAAAACACCTCACTGCAACCTGACAACATCCTCACGCAACATAGACACATCCCACGCAACACTGACAACATCTTCCTGCAACACTAGACAAATTCCACGCAACACTAGACAACATCTCCTGCAAAACTAGACAAAATCCTCCTGCAAAAAACTAGAAACATTCACTGCAAACAGACAACATCTTTACTGCAACACTAGACAACATCTTCACTGCAACACTAGACAACATTCTCACTGCAACATAGACAACATTTTTCACTGCAACACTAAACACATCCTCACTGCAACACTAAAAACATTTCACGCAACACTAAAACACTTCACTGCAACATAGTTTAACATCCCACGCACATAGCAAATCTTCACTGCAACACTAGACAACATCCTCACTGCAACACTAGACAACATCCTCACTGCAACACTAGACAACATCTTCACTGCAACACTAGACAACATCTTCACTGCAACACTAGACAACATCTTCACTGCAACACTAGACAACATCTTCACTGCAACACTAGCAACATCCTACGCAAAACTAACAACTCTTACGCAAAAATAGCAACATCCCACTGCAACATAGAAAATTTCACTGCAACCCCAAAACAAAATCCTCACTGAAAACCAGACAACTCCACTGCAAAAAAAAGACAACATCCTCACTGCAACACTAGCAAATTTTTTCACTGCAACACTAGCAACATCTTCCTGCAACACTAGAAAAATCTCCCCTGCAACATAACAACATCTTCACTGCAAAATAGTCTTTCTCCTGCAAAACCCCAAAACAAAACTTTACGCACACAGTTTAACTTTTCACTGCACCCAAAAACAACATCTTACCGCAACACTAAACACTTCACTGAACACTATCAATCTTTATGCAACACTAGACAACATCTCCCCTGCAAACTAGCAACATCTTCACTGAAACTGCAACATCTTCCTGCAACATATCAACATCTTCCTGCAACATAGCAACTCTTCACTGAACATACAATTTTTCACGCAAAAATAGCAACCTTTCCCGCAACACTAGTCAACATCTTCATGCAACAAAGAAACATCTTCACTGAACACTAGCAACATCTTTTCCCGAAACACTAGCAACACTTTTACTGAACACTGACAACATTTCACTGAACCTAGAAACCCTTTCACTGCAACACTAGCACCCCTTCACTGCAACAAGCACCCTCTTCCTGAACACTAGCACCTCTTTACTCAACCTTGCACCCCTTCACGCAAAAGCACATCTTTACGCAACACTTCACATCTTCTGCAAAAACTAGCAACATCTTCCTGCAACACAGACAACATCTTCACTGCAACATAGCAAAAATCTTCACTGCAACCTAGCACCCTTTCCTGCAACACTAACACCCTCTTCCTGCACAATTGACACCCTCTTCACGCAAAAACTATTTAACACTTCATGAAAAAAGACACATCTTCACGCAACAAGCACCTCTTCACTTTCAACACTAGCAACATCTTCACGCAACATGCAACCCCTTCACGCAACATAGACACCTCTTTCCGAACATAGTCAACATTTCACTGCAACATAGACACCCTCTTCACTGCAAAATCAAGACAAAACCACTTCCTGCAACACTAACAACATTTCCTGCAACACTAGCAAACATCTTCATGCAACATAGGCAACAAATTTTACTGCAAAAACCCAACACCATTTTCACTGCAACACTAACACCCCTTCATGCAACCCCAAGCAACATCTTCATGCACCTAACACCATCTTCACTGCAAAACTAGTCACCCCTTTTACTGCAACATGACACCCTCTTCACGCAAAACTGACCCATTTCACGCAACATAGCAACACTTTATGAAAACAGACAAAATCTTCACTGCAACACAGAAAAAAACTTCACTGCAACATAGACAACTTTTACTGCACATAGACACCTCTTCAGAAAAATAACAACATCTTCCTGCAAAAACTAGACACCATCTTCACTGCAACACAGGGCACCTCTTTACGCAACCCCAAATCAACATTTCATGCCCATGAATCTTCCACTCAACCGACTAAAATATGAAAAGGCCCCTCTGTTGAAAGCATGAAAAGCACATCTCCCAAATTTGCCATTTCATGCCCCTGGCCTTTAAAAAGCTCCCCTTCACACATAGGGCCCCCTTTCTTGCAAACATTTCACACTTCCCACACCCGCCCTTTCACTGCAAAATAGGGACCTTTGACACTGGGTTCGCATCCGGGGGCAAATTTGGCCCCAAAAGGGAAAAATTTTTGCCCTGATACCATCTTTCTGGGACCTGGGGGGCACCCCGGGGTTTAAAAATCCAACCAAACTTAAATTTTTCCTTTTTTACAAACCCAGATACCGACAACTATGAAAATTTTCCCCCCTGTATAAGTACGGAAAACCCTAATTTGACGGGGGGGTTGCCCTGGTGGT